CAATACAGATGGCGTTTTTCGTGGGGTCTGTGCGGAGTGCTCATAAGAGATGTAAATGCAGTGACAGAGTTAGTTCAAGGACAGTTAGGATTCAGTCGTAAGCCGGAGGAGTGAGCCCAGAAGAATTTTTAGTTCTGAGGTTCCAGAGAGATTGAAGACGAAATAGCAAGAAGACTTCATAGTGATTTGAAGTGCTAGTTTCTGTGTTGAGATCCATTGCTAGGAGACGACTAGTGAAGAAGAAAAATTCTTGTGCTTGTGCAACGGTGAACTGGAAAATGTGCAAATCAGTGATAGCGCTGTATTTAAATTTGATTACAGAGAACCTCTAAACAAGGTGCTAATAGATCAAATCATCCAAACTAGAACCCGTTATTTTCGTCACGCGTACCACCCTACACATGACAATACTATATACATTCCTCTGAATAAATTTCGTTCAACAGTTCAGACGCCAGAGAGGAGCAAATCTATGCACTGAGACGGCATTTCAGCCAAATCTTTTTAATTAATGGGCGGTGAAAAATACAAATCCTTCAGAATTTCGGGAGCGGCCTTCATTCATGACCGCAATAATTCCTCATATATGCTATATATATGAGGAGGTGAAAGAAATAAAATGATTGTAATGAAGAGCTGTCACCTCACGACAGAAATAGAGCCAGCTCCTAAAATGTCGAGTATGTCAGATAATTCAAGACCTATCAGCCTTCTGTCGTCTATTGGCAACTGTTTTAAGTTATTATTCCAAACAGAATTGACAGTGTCATTCTGAAAAAGGAGGATTTGACATAATTAAATTTGTTTTCCGTGTTCACCACAGCGCATCAATGAAACCCATGAGGGTAACTTGGGAAGCGACAAAATATGACTAAGAAAACCTGCAGTAGATATGCACTTCGTTACTAAAAAGTTCTTAACAAATCTAGGCAAGTCTGTCTGGTATACAAGCTTCTAAACCGGCTGAAATGTAGCTGGAGTCAGAAGGAGGCTCGCTCCGTTTACCCTCGTTTATTTTTTGCTCCGATCCTGGAGATGGAGGCAGTAAGTTCCTTCGAAATATCGGTAAACTTCTACGAGACTAAACGCGGTGAGATCCCAGAAAATAATATTCTTGAAAGCAAAATATTGCGAGGTTGTAATTTAGATGTAGTTGAAATTTCGCAGGGCTAATGTATTGTGGTTTTCTTTGTGGGCTGATCTGTAACGCTGTCAAATAGATTACATCGAATTGTAGGAGGGAAGCGGTCGTGGCCAACTCCAGGAATTATACCGATATTTCCTTGAAGGGACTCAGAAATACTAAGAATAGCAGATGTCCCAGCTGAGATTTGAACTGAGAACTTTTCGATAAGAGTCTAGAGTCTCACAGCTATGTTAATCCGCTCAGTGACTGTAATGTTATCACGAATGTAATGCATGATTATAATTTAAATGTTATCCGCAGATGAAAACATAAAACGATTATAGACGCCACTATATCTAATTTCCAATTTAATTTATTCTGTGAAGCTACATATAATAAAGTAGGTCACGAGTTCATAACCAAATTTATTTACGGCTGTAGAATGCTATATTAAAAATAATGAAACGCCACAGACTTTAAACGCTCTTTCTGGATGGATCAAAGGCATGTTAATGCTATTAAGTTCATGTGTGGGCTGATACTAAATAGGGAGCCAGTGTTCTCAGGGCAAAGACATGAGCTTCGGTTCGTGATGATTAGCGGAATGTTCTTGCTGTGTCGATGTACAGTCGTATCAAATGTTTCTGAACTGAAACTTCGTATGTATTCTGCCGATGGAAGAAGTATAACACTTGATGTTTCCCAAAAGTGGGCTCTGAAGATCTCCATTATCCGAAAGGATATAATTTTGAATTTTCAAAACACCTGGAAAGCCGACTATTAAACGGCATTTGAGGATCACCCGATTGCCTGCAGATTATACATTCAGTCCTTTACGTTTTTCAGTTTTTGTGGATGTTGACATTTTGGAAGCAGTAAATATTTCTGAAACTTTGACAACAACATCCATATCCAAAGACAGGGTCATCGAAAAAGGATTCCGGGATTATGAACATTAATCTTTAAAAAATCTTAAACATATCGAAATGATTCAAGCTTTTAAATGTGGCGAATGAACGTAGTTTTGGATATGCACTGTTTGTGCTGGGTAGCGAACGACGTTGAGATGCTTTTGTCTGTTCACCAATCGATTGAACCTGTGCGCAAGGCCGGCCGTCAAAATTCTCGAGCCCCGCTAGTTTTATCTTCCAGTGCGAGTCCGTGCCAGCCGAGATGTGAGCTGTGAACCAGAAGGCTGAGTTTCTTTTATGGTATGCAGAATTTAAATCTGTTGTAAGAGCGAAACATAAGTTGTGAAGATTACATCCAGGAGAAGAAGCACCAGATGATAAAACTCTGACTCATTGGTTGAAAAATTTCAAAGAAATGGGATGTGTTGCGAAACAGAAATCTTCAGGTCGACCAGGAGCATAGGAAGAGAATGTGGAGCGCATTAGACAGTCCTGTGTAAGAAGCCATAAAGGCCAGTTACTCATCAGAATTTAGAATCAGGAATTAAAAAAGAAAAAACTGTGATTCAAAACGTCATTCACAAGCGTTTACAACTTTATGCCTGTAAGATTCAGTTGAAGCACGAAATATAACCTGATGATTGGCCCAATCGTTATGATTTTACAAGTTCAATGTTGAAGAAAAATTGAAACTTTTCTACGCCAGATTTGTTTCAGAGACGAGGCAATATTTTTTTTGAATGGGTGCATTGATAAGCTTAATTGTCAAATAGTGGGATCAGAGCAACCAAAAGAGACATACTAAGGTCATATAAAAACTTCAGACATTTGTTAGCAATTTTAATATAGAATCATTTCTAAAAGTTTAATAGCTTTTGAGTGATAGTTTTCATAATCCCTGCATTCTTTTTCGATGACCCTGTAGTACAGGTAAATAGAGGAATTTGAGGTTCTCATGGACAGAAAAATGATGGCGACTATCTTAAGGGGGATGTGACGCCATGTAATCTGGTAGAAAGGTACCAACTGTGATATTTCGAAGGAATCTGCTGCCTCCATCTTCAGAATAAAAAAATTAAGTCGCGAGAAAACGAGGAGAGGAAATTAAAGAGAAGGAAATTAGGCTAATTAACTGCAACTTGGGAGAGACCATGAAGATGGGAACAGTATCTTCCTCCGAAACTTTGGTATGGATATAACAGAATATATGGCATGACAATCTTAAATCTCGCAAAATTTATTTTTTTGCAATCCCATGAGAACCGAGTTATGTAATATTGTTGGAGCTGATCATGTCATTCTGTATACAGCATCAATGTGCAGGAACAAGAAGTGGAAAAGCGCACACACTGTGACCAACGGGGATAATGGATGGAGGGAGAACCCTCTCAAGATGACAGGAAATCTTTACATTGACTTTTCAGCATCATTGGGCACGCCTTCTTTGCCATAGTAGCCCCTGTCTAGCTACAATGGTCATAGAAAATCGAGTAGTTAGGGGCCTTTTCCATGCACTTCCATTAAGGTTGACTGCGAAAATTTCAATGGATCCTATCCCCTTATCAAAGAGGGTCTTCAGAAGTGCTGAGCTCTGTGTAAATAGAAGCATACAGGGAGTTTCCACGATAAGGTACTATTGCTAGCTGAGCAAACAAAGGACACTTGTGAAAGAAATGCAGAAGTAATCCGATATGGACCATTTTACAATTTTGTGGTTAATGGAGACATTTTTCTTGAGTCATGAAGAACCTGAGCAGTTCCAGTTTTTGGCTATTACGAGTGTCATTATTGTTACTATTATCTAACAAATTTCATGTATCTTAGTCCTTAGACAGACGATAATAATTGCTCATCTAGTCACGCTGTTGCCAATATTTGACGGAAATAAAGGATTATTAACCTGAAGAGTTCTACCTTCTGTTATTCAACGCCGTGTAATCCGTTTAAGTCAACCTACACAGCGCCATCATTTGCAGAGTTGAGCAAAAGCTAAGCAAAAAACCAGTGTGAAGGAAGTAACAACTGGATCCTTTGGTTGATTTTCAACGGACTACACCGCGTTATAACCAAGAAGGTATAACACTTCATAACCATCACTGTGAGAACCTCAAATCATTTATTACCCTGTTCACAAGAGCCAACAATTGGCTCCTATCCTGAGCCAAAATAATCCAGTCCACTCCTTCCTATCATACTTCCCAAGATCCATTTGAATATTATCCTTCCATCCACGTGTGTTTTCCTAGTGGTCTCCTTCTTTCAGGTGTTCCTCCGAAGCCCTGCATGCACGCCTATCCCATACACCACACACCCATTTCATCAACTTTGATTTTGTCTTTCTAATAACATTAAGGTTCGGCCACACAGGGCCCTACGTACGCTATTTTCGCTATACGAACAGAAAAATATCTCCCTTTATTGCCTATGTGACTGGCCATACAGACTTCCGTACGCTACGTACACTATGTTCCCTATGTTAACTGCGTCGCAGAGTGTACACAGCGTACGTAGCGTACGTAGCGAATATAGCGTAGCGCTCTGTGTGGCCGAACCTTTAGCCAAGGAGTACAAATTAGGACGCACTTACGCCGTTCGTCTCTTACACCCTTTCTCGTAGGTTCAAATTGTCCTCAAAAGGACCCTGTTCCCAAACACATTCAATGTATTTTTTTTCTCCATAATTTCAGATTTCAAGTTTCACAACAATTCAAAATGACAGCCAAATTATGGTTCTATATACTGCATATACACCAAAAACCAAAAACTGATACCGGAAGCAGCGTCATCAGCAGCGACTTGAAGCACAGAGCAAATGATGCTCGAGATTGTTCAAGTTCGTATAGCAACAGGCGTGACCAGAGTGGTTTGAACGGCTGTTGTACTGCGATGTGGAAAAACTACCACATTATCACTTTTCCTGGATAGTCTCTTTCCAAAACAGAAGATCGCATTAAGTGGAGGAACTGTTTTGGAAGAGACTGTGGACCTGTGGTCTGACAGATTACTGATGAATGAATGAATACTGTATATGTAAATCCTTACACGTTTTTATCAGTATAAAAGAAGACATAAGTTTTTGAATTGAATGGTGTCAAGTATTCCTGGAATCTCATTTTCCCTTAATTTCTTCATATATGTTATTTTAATTTCTCAGTCATCTTCTCAAATTTGAACTTTTCCACATTTTCAAAATGTTGTTGTTGCTGTTTTTATATAAATTACCTTGTTTTGTCTTTGGTTTGTTTTTTGCTTTTATTTGTATTTACTGGCCGCTGAATTGCAAATAAACAATGAATTGAACTGATGTTCAATAACAGTGTTAAATAAATATAGCACAAATCTGGAACATGGACTTAATTTGCTTACCCTCCAATATAATTTTACTTGACACAGACATATTCTGATTTATGATATTTTGATGTGATGTTCGTTCCTTTCACAGTAAATTAGATGTAAATTACATTATACAAGAAAGATTTAACTCCTTGCTCCCATGAAGTCATGTGATTTCTACCACAGAGTAAGAGTTACCTCAGTTATGAACTTTCGTAAACAATAAATTTTCATATGAAAACTTAATCAAATAGAGCTACCATCTAAGGCAGCCAACAGAGAATGCACTGTAAAATGAGTTTATAAACTTGGTAGTCACTCATACATATGGTTTTATTTTTGTTACAGACGTCACGGCATTTGCCACAAATAATTTTTAAAATTATGGTATCAGAAATCCATCTTGATATTTACTACTTATGAAATAAAAAATTATCATTTTAAGTAACCAACCATACCCTCATTCTTAATAGCTCTAAAACTTGACCAACCGCTTTAAATATCTATTCATCAGTGCACTGGAGGTTGAAATCTCATTAAAATTTAATCTCATTCTCCATTAATTAAACTTGTAATATGTATTTAGCATCCTCCTTGTGTCCTCTCAGCCTGTGAATCAAAGATAACTACAGTCAGTTATTAAACATTTTCTACGTTCCTTTCCCTTCTTCATTACCTCTTGCTCTGTATATATGCGGTTCATATTACTCTTCTTCAATTCAGCATCTTCTCCTTTCAACGCTGTGCAGGATGATAAAATTTTCAGTCAATGACATGTCCATATTTTCTTCAGCCTCATTACATTTCTTATCTCTTTGGTTCTGCTTCCTCGCATGCAAACTCTCCATCAGGCAGTCACACCTCTGAATTTCTTCAGCTTCATTATCTACTTCTGCACTTAGTTTCCATTAGCCAATCACATCTCTGTGTTCTCTTCAGCATCCTCATCTTCTTCCTGCACAGTGTATACACCAGGAACCTCACTCTCGGCAGGTTCTTGTGGTGCCTTGGCCTCATCAGGAACTGGAAGTACAGGGGGCAGCACAGGTATTGGGGCCGTCACCTCCATGGGGATGCTCGATGGGTGAATATCTCCCCGCTTGATGGTGGCAGTCACTTCATTCTGGTCTAACACTCCAGAGAACATGGAGGTGGGCGTACCACTGGACACTAGGGTTTCTTGAGTCATGTTCCTATGATAGGTTCTTTGCTGAACTTGCTGTTGTGTATGCTGATGTTGGTGTTGATGTTGCAGGTGTCAGGACGATGTTGAATAAGGATCACCACTATTTGCATCCTCTAGAAAATTATTACTACCTTTAGATGACGAATCCTTATCATGGCGCAAAGAATGCCTGACATGATGTTTCAGACGATGAACAATCTCATCATGAAGAATATTGAAGCACATTGCTGTTAGGGCCATCCCACTTAGAATATAAAGTGAACAAAACCATACTGTGCCGTTCCCACTTCCAAAGCTGCCTACAGATTGTCCGCTCGAATTTCTGTTTGCTGCATGATGAGAGACCATTCCACCAGGAACAATGTCTCCAAAACCTATTGTGCTTAAGCTCATGAAACAGAAATAGGAGCCATCAAGGAATGTCCATGCTTCTAGTTTTGTGAGAACAACAGCACCACCACATATGTAACACAACATGATACACAAACAAAGAAGTACTGGAGCCAGAATGCTGCCAGCACTATGGTACTGCTGAGACAGACTTTTCCTGTCAATGTCCAGATTGTCAGTACCGTAATCTGTCTCCCCTAGGATTGAGGATGATTGTTGTAACTTCAGTACCTCCCCATCGCGGACTGGGGAATGTAAATTATTGTGCGTGCTACTTGCTGATGGTGTGAATGCTGTTACTGAAGATGATGATCTGACATAGAAAGGTTCTTGGAGCGGCAGTTGTTGCTGCTGTAGTTCTATCTGTTGACGTTTCTTCTTCATGCGACGTTCTTTTTCTTGCATCCTCCTCTCGTCATAACAGCAATAACCACAGTTTGAACAGAAACAACAGCAAACAGTACGTGAGAACGCACCACGAACACACCGAGACAGAAGACTGCCAACACTTGACAAGTAGATCAGCATCAGTGGGATGCCAAATACAGCATATCCCATTGTCACTGCTTTCCCCAGGGCAGTCCGCGGGGCGATGTTCCCATACCCTGCAATAGAAAACATCAACTTCATTATGCCATAAGTCGTAAGAAGAAAATTTGAAAGTGACAATGAAATACAATGTACTAAATGAATGAGAATGCTTGGCCACAAACAACGTTAAAAGAGAGAGAAATTGTGCGATTTGGGTTCTCACGGCGGTGGTTATGAAGAGTCCATTTACTGGGATATAACGCCGTGTGGTCCTATGCCGTCATATCCCAGAAGATAAGGTTCTTAAGGGAGAAATTTATTTCCTGGTTATAGTTAAAGCAGGAATAGTGTGTTTGCCTTTCAACAGGCAATAACTAGTTCTTAATTCTTAAAGTCTAAACAACTCTTACATCACATAGTGCCGTTCAATATGTAATTGTCAAACTTCTCTGGCAACATATTATCTATTCTGTGTTCATGGATTAAGATGTTTATTAACAAAATAGGCTGTCGTTTTAATAAGATTATTCCAGTTAACTTTTGAGGTAAATTATCTCTTAAAAGGTCCTGAAGTTACAAGTTTGGAAACCTAATTCCCGACTCTAGTTTAAACCCTTACATATTCGGATTTTCAAACAGCCCTGATGAAGGAGGGAGGATCCGCCCTCCATTGAAAATTATAGATCGTGTACTTAACCCTGGCCTCCGGTGTGTGACAAATAAAAAAATATTATTTTTGTCTGTAAATTTTCAATTTTGGAAACAAAGGGAAATCATAAGGGTCTAAGTCCGGCGAGTAGGGAGGATGGGGTACGATAATTTTGTTGTTAGTTAAAAATTCTGCGGTTTTCAGGGACGTGGACGGCCACTTTGTCATGATGAACCACCCCCTTCACGTCGATAAAAACAATGAACATGTTCTTTGTTGAACTCCGGACCTGCCACTCCTTTTTTGCTCTTTGTGACTGTTGACGCTACAACTGCGACGATTGTTGGTTTGTTTCTGGATCATAAATGTACGAGTAAGACCAGTTTTCTTCACTCGTTATGACCTTACAGATAAAAGTTGGTTCCTCCTTTGCCTTCTCTCGTAACTCCAGACATACATCTACGGGCCGCTGTTTTTGATCGTTTCTCAAGATTCGGGGAACAAACTTTGCGGCAATGCGGCATATGTTCAAATTTTCTGTTAAGTTATACTCTATAACTGATCCCAACGGTGTCTGCAAGCTCATGGATTGTTCGGCGACGGTCTTCGTGAATGAGTTCTCGAATTTTTTCAACATTTTCTATCGATTTGCTTGTGCTTGGTCGCCCTGAAAGTTCGGCATCTTAAACTGACACTCAACCGGCCTTGAAATGTGGATTCCATTCAAAAACCACTCTACAGCTTACAGAATGTTCTCCGAAAGCCTCATGAAGCATTTAAAGGGTTTCGGTAGTGAATTTACCGAGCTTCACGCAAAAATTGGTGCAGACTCGTTGCTCGATTTTGCCACCCATCGCAGATAAAACGAAACACGAAGTCGAAAAAGCACTCGTGTAAAAACAGTGCTTGTTCACAGCGCGGTATCACTTGGCTGACTGATGCAATAGGCTTGCGGCAGTGTTGCCTTGGCCTCCCTTCTCATCTGCCTTCACCGAGGCAGTTAAAATAGCAGTCGAGAAAAATTTCCGATAGCGCGTTTAGGAGGAATATGATGCACCAGTCTTAATGTTATAAGATTAAACTAGGAGTGACAAAAATCGTTATGGTTATTGAGTGAGGAGTACCATGCCCAGGGTCCTAAGAGAACGGACAGGAGTAAGGAGAAGGGTGAAAGGGTATGGGTCCCCAGATTATAGTGAATTATGAAGGAGGAAATGAAATACGGTTAGGGCAGAGGTGGAGCCCCTAGCTATTGTAATGCAGTAGCACTGGACAATTTGCATTTAGCGACCCGAATGTATTCTTGGCTATGGTTATCCTAGTAATGTTAGGCAATTGTGTTAATAGTAACTAATTATCATTACCGTAATTTATGATCACAATAAAATTAAATCAAGAGGTTGAAATGCAATTATGCTAATGTTTCACTATAGCTGACAGTGATGTCATCTCTTGACGGAATCTATGCTGAATTTATGTAAGATTTGAGGTTTTCACGGCGGCGACTATGAAGAATGTCGTCTTCTGGGATGCGGCGCCGTGTAGTTCTGTAGTTATCTACATTTCCTAGTAACGCAATGCCGCAATGCTTGCTTCTTGCTCCTTGATTGTTTCGCGTATGACCTTGAAGATGGAGGCAGTACGCTCTTCCGACAAGTCTTTCAATTTATATCAGACTATATGGAACCAAAACCAAGAAAACAGAACTAAAGAATCATCGTTGTGGAAACATTTTTATTTATCATGAAATATCTTTGAATCCTTGAATAATTTCAAGATTTTGACTTCAGAAGGAATTTTTTAAATTAACCCAGTTGAGTTGTATAATAAACTTAGTGTGATATGAAGAGAAGGGGTCGTGACGTGAATTGAGGCACAATCCCAGCATTAGCTCTGAGGCATTCAGGGCAGTCCTTGTTGGGGCAGAGATTAGAATATGGAAACCAAACCAGAAGGGTTATAGCTTCAGTCAAGCTGCTCTGTTCACAAATTTAAGAACCGATATATACCCATCGGGTTATTCAGTGTAACAATAAAATGAGATATAGGACACTAAACTAATATTCTCCCCAGAATTTCTAGGTTATGTAGCTTCGACATAACCATAAAATTTGATACTAGTATTTAGGTCGTGATATAAGACAGACTTCGATTCCAATTGATATTTCGTGAAATGGAATTTAGGGGTTCTGATTTGATATCCACAGATCGTAACCCATTGGAGAGCAAATTACATCCCGCGGAGATACTTCAAATATTTCATGTGATATTTTTTTATTTAAATCTAGATTAATTTAAATTATAATTGAAAAGCTAACCAGAAACCCGACGCAATTACACATGTAGCACTAAAATTGTACGTGCTTCCCCTTATTGAAAATAATTGTTATTATTGTGTTCACCTTTAAAGTCGAAGTGTAAAATTTTCACGTTCAGTTTTCGAAGGTTATTTTAATAATTTATTTTTAATTCGGTGTTAAATACATGATGAATTCTTGGATCTGGAATAAACCTTGAGAGAGTACACAGTAAAAGTCCACCTACTCAGCAAACAAGGGTACTTCATATCTTGTATAAGCAAACCTAGAGATGAATAGTCCCGTATTAATACGTTTCAATTTCCCACGGAAGAATAAAAACTTGAAGTATGTTAAAAATAGAATCAATTAACTTTCTAGTGAAGGTGTAACATTCTACCTACCTATCCACCTACTTACCTATCCATCGGCCCATCTATCTACCCACCCACCCACCTACCTACCTACCTATCAACGTATCTATCTACGGTTCTACAGTCCTCTGTTTGGCCTTGACCGCTTTTCAGTTTCTTAATCGTAGGCACAGTCGGTAGGACTCCTTGGATGAGATGGGTAGTCAGTGCAGCAAGCATTATAGTGGAAAATGAATGTAAAGTCTTTGTCAGGGAAACTGAAGGGAGGTTGTCTGAGTAAGTTTTATTGTGAGGATAGATGAGCATAGATGATCTCCCGGCCAAGATTCGAACCGAAGATCCCTCTAATAACTGTCAAGATACTTACCGTTATGGCCACAAACTCGGCCGAACCATAAGAATTCATGGAAGTCCTGTCATAATATGGTGCAATGTAGTAACTAAGGAGAACGGAGATAAAACATTTATTTTTCCTTGCTGCTGCAACTTCAGTTTGCTCTAAAACAAATATTTAAACTCTTTCTCGCTACTTAATTTGAGTTCTATGTATTATTTTCAATTCTTTTTGTTGCGTCATAATCCAGATATGAACGTAATATTTACAATAATGCAAATACATTTTTAAATTAAAATTCAGAAACGAGGGGCGTTCCATTGTGTATAGCTTTATTTTCCTATTGATGGAAACCATTATCCTGAGAAATATTAATAAACTGATATGAAATGCCTACGCGTACGAAATGCGAAATATAACTCAGACGGGCTTTGTACCATTCACTTGATTTATTACCTCAAAAAATATGTATAATATCCTACGAGACTAAAAAGCCTGAATCATATGCTGAGTTACGTAGATCCATTTAAGTTAAAATTGATTAAGGTATGCAAAATGAAATTACCTACTCTGGCGTATAGACGCGTTGCTAAGCTGCGACTTCGTAAATAGAGACCGTTTCGGGGCAACAGCTTGGTAAACACGTTCTCATTGTTACGCAACAGTTGGACTATAGTAATGGAAACGGGGTGTTTCTATGTGGTCCGAGCCGAGAAGTTGCAAGAAAGGGACTAAGTCAGTGGAGTGTTGAGTTCTGTACGGAAGACTGCGTAGAGAGAACCTTAGAGCGTGAAGCTGAAGAATTTCCACTATCAGAAGCCGTTATCAGGCAACGGCTGGTAAATTCCTAGCGGTTGTTATGGTGATTTGTGAATTGTGGGGCTTAGCCGTGGCGTTGTAATTATTTGTATTTCCATGTCGTGTGTATAAGTGGTCGATAAATCCATTCACCAATCCAAATCTTGTCTACAGTCACATTCTAACACGTGAAAATACATTTGTTCAAAGGTACTTGTATATGCATAGTGACAGCGTACTGCCCTGTTATTAAAGGGAATCCGGGTTAGATGAGAGCCAACAAAAATAATCATACAAAAGTGAAAATAAAATAGCCTATACATCAGTTTAATGACCTCCAGTGACCTGAAAATGTAACTGCAACCTATCTTAGGAAGTCTTTCATAATGAATACACCTCAGACAACAGAAAAAGCAGACACTGCTTGCTGACTTCTTCATGATTTTTTTTGTTCTCCTACTTTTAGGCCTTCAAAGTGGAGGCGATATATTCCTCTAAAACGCCGGTTCACTTTCACCAGAATACACTCAGTTATGATCCAGAAGATAAGTCTTCAAGATTTGAGTATAAAATTCAATAATTCATTCATTTTTGTTTTTTATCTAAAAAAAACTAAGAATTG